ACATCTGCACTTTACTACTGGACGATACGGCTAGATCCATGACCTGGTCAAAAAGGACATTTTTTGAAAAGGCGAACAAGATGGACACCCTCTTAGCCAGGACGCTTCGGCCGAGGCAAGAGAGGTCCCACATAACGGCAATCAAACATCCGGATGGCACGAAGAGAACAAGACCAGTTGAGATAGCGGAGATCTTCAAGGATTTTTATAAAAGATTGTATAATCACACACCGGACGGAAGCCCCCACGGGGAGCATGAGGAAGAGTATATCTTGCAATACCTGGACAAGCTGGGGATGACTAGATTGAGTGGAGAGGCAGCATTCACCCTGGCGGCAGATATTTCGGAAGACGAAGTGGACAAAGCTATTTCGAGTCTGAAAGGCAATAAAGCACCGGGGCCAGACGGTTTCGACGGCTCATATTACAAAATCTTCAGAGAAGAGCTAACACCACATCTGGTCTGACTTTTTGATAATTTACGGCAGGGTGGACAACTAGACCCAGACATGTCACTGGCGACCATAGAGCTCTTGCCCAAGCCCAGAAAGGACCCATTGTACCCAGAAAACTACAGGCCCATATCGTTGATCAACCATGATCTAAAGATCTCAGCGAAAATACAAGCAGACAGGCTGAACCCGTTGTTGAACTCTCTCATCCATGCAGACCAGGTTGGGTTTATCCAAAGCAGACAATTGTTTGAAAACACTAGAAGGAATATAGATTTGATTTGGAAGCAAGTGGCCTCAGGGACCCCCACATTAGTGGTATCCATAGATGCAGAAAAAGCCTTCGATAGAGTCCGGTGGCAATTTTTGTTTCCAGTTTTGAAGAGTCTGGGCTTCCCAGAAGAATTCTTAACGATAACGAGAGCGATGTATCACAACGTATGGGCACAAGTGCAGATATCGGGAGCCCCATTGCACCCTTTCAAGCTATACAATGGAACAAGACAGGGATGCCCTCTCTCCCCCCTTCTTTTTGTCTTAGCACTGGAGCCCTTGCTTCAAGCGGTACGTCGACATCCAAACATTGCAGGTGTTAGGGTGGGGGACAAAGAATTTAAAGTTTACGCGGACAATGTTCTCTTGACCATCACGACCCCACTAGAATCAATGGTAGCAATACAGGAAGTTATATCAGAATACGGTATGGTATCAGGATATAAAGCGAACATTCAAAAGTCCAGTGCCCTCCCATTATGCCTGACGCAAGCTGATACGGCTAGGTTACGACAGCGGACCCCGAACATTTATACTTGGCTAACTACGCCCCTATGTTAAGAGAGCTGATGGGAGACCTAGACAAATGGATAGAAAAACCCATATCCTGGATCGGCAGGATAAACTCTGTAAAGATGAATATCCTTCCACGCATATTATTCCTTTTTCAGGTGCTCCCCATCTGAGTCACAAAAACGCAACTGCTCCCTCTACAAAGATCAATAGGAGATTTCATTTGGCAAAACAAGAGACATAGAATCTCCAAACAGGTATTATACAGACGTAAAGACAGAGGGGGCCTGGGCCTTCCGAACCTCTACTTCTACTACCTACCGGCACAACTGACGCAGATAGCCATGTGGCATTCCACACCGGATGAGAGAAGGTGGGTGGAAATAGAGTCCATGATGGTGGGTGTCGATGTCCCCCAGTTTACGATATGGGTCCCCAAGGAACACAGACCGGCGATACAGATAACATGCCCAGCGATACTCAACTCGATCCGAATATGGGACACTTATAACACCAAATATGGACTGGCATCATCCCCTTCCCCTCTGACCCCAATTCTTAGAAACAGAGAATTCCCACCTGGTATGACCCCTAGGGATTTCCGCAACATCGAAAGAACTGGGCTACAACGGTTACATCAGCTATATCACAATGGAGAGGTCGTCCAATTTGCAGACCTCCAATCAGGTAATCACCTAACCCCTGCAGGTTTCTTTAGGTACGTTCAAATACGTGATTTTGCCAAAAAACCACATATTAAAACAGCAGCCTCGGGGAAACCCACCTTTTACGAGAGGATATGTTCTGAAGGGGTAACCCCCAAGGGGTTGATCACACTATTATACGCTCACCTTAGCGAAGAAAATGGAGATTAACATACACTGACCAATGGGAGACCGACCTCGGGGAGACTGTGGAGGGGGTCGAGTGGCAGGAGATTTGGGAAGCAAATGCCAAAGTCCCAATATGTGTCACCTTTCAGGAGCAGACATGGAAAACTATGTTCAGATGGTATACTACCCCAGTCAAACTACATAGAATGCACAAACGGGAGACTGAAGATTGCTGGAGAGGATGTGGAGCCCGAGGGACATACATACACATGTGGTGGGAATGTGGTGGGAATGCTACATGGATTCTGGAGGTCGGTAGAGGATCTGTTGAGACAGACGCTTGATAGACCCCTGAGAATGGACCCGTGGATATACTTGTTGAATAGATCTATGGACGGAACAGAAATTAGTACACAAGATTACTCTGTGTGCGCGCCGAGCAATAGTGACAGCATAGCTTACACCAGAGGGCCCAGAATTCACAGGGGTTATATCCAGAATCAAAGAAGGTAGAATTATGGATGACCTAACTTTAAAAAAATCTGGGACCCATGGGACAATAGTGTAGTTGGCTCAAGAGGAGAATGAGGGCCTTACCCCTCCAAGTACGAGCCAAAACGGTGAACACCCTCACTAGACGGGACTCCGCTGTCAACGAAGTGGCTGTGGAACCTCCGCCCTCCCCCCGACCCCCCATCTGCCTTCTCTACCTCACTAAATTCTTCTTACTATATCTCTTTGTTTCATCTTCTCTTTCTTTTCTTCTTTCTTTGTTCTTGTTTTATTTTTTCAGGCTAGATCATACGGTCGGAGGAATAATGTAGCAAAGGTATGAGAATGATTAACAAATCTAATGGCTACTTGTCATGCTAATCTGCCTGTTCTTCTGTTAAACATAAAACACCTCAATAGACAGCGGGTGCCAAACATACAACAAGAAATGGGCTTGCAATGATAAAGCTGAATTGTATTCTCTTGCACTGATATGTAACAATATTATTGGCTTCTTTATAAGCCCAAACGTGAATGTATACCTGTTATGTTTATTGAAAAAATAAAGAATAAAAAAAAAAAAAAGAAGCCATGGAAATCTGGGGCAAAGAGATAAAGGGCCAACAATTCACAAAGTGAATTGAAAGCTAATTTCAAACTTAAGGTCATAAGAGCAGAACTGGAAAAATTATATAATTTAGCTATGCTTTCGGCTCAACTTCTTTGGCCTTAAATGTGAAATTCTCTTAATTCAACCTCAATTCTCACTTTTGTGAATAACCCGGAGAATCTTTTCCCAGAAACAAAGCCAATGTAAGTGTGAGTTCCACCTGTACAGCACTCAGATTTCATATCTTTGCATATCTGTTGTGTTAAAAATTAAATACAAATATCATTTTATGATGTCATACACCTGTCACAGTGAGCGAGTGACATAATCAAGAGTGTGTCACTACCAGCCACTCTCCACACTGTGATATAGACGGGTCAGTGGATATTTAAATTTTTTTATTTAATTTTGCGGGATTCAGAATTGATTTATTTAATGGGGGCTCCAGGATTGTTTTTATTAAATGAGGGGAGCCAGTGACTGTTTGGTTCACTCATCTAGGGATAATAATTGGATCCACTAGAGTCACATTTAAAGGGGATTCAAACGGGAGAATAACAAGATCAGGTCAGGGTTCACTCAGTTTGAAGGATGGTAAATGCAGTCTGTTTCCACTGAACGTTTTCTTCCAAAACGTCCAAAAATGATTTGCCCTAAATTTGCTCAAAGAATTCAGAGCTTAATAAATAAGCCCCAAATCAGTTTTCAGTCTTGCCGCTAAAGTGCCACGTCACAGATTCCAGAAACTGGAAAACAATCTACCGTGGCTCCATTAATTGTCCAGCTCTATAAATCCCCCATTGTTAATCCAGTGTCTGAGCACTGTTTGAAGATATCAGTGTTCCTCATTAATGAATACCCCAGCCTTTCTACCCAACTAGAACCCGTCCTTTCTGTTTCTGAAGGTGAAATCCAATCTGCTCCCAGAGGACATCTCTTTATCATCTGCAAAGTCTTTTCGGATCACAAGTTAGACAGAGAACCCTTTGTATTGCCCTTTAATACATTTGTATAAAGTAATGCAATCAGTTCACATGTGCATAGGCTCCAAGAAAAACACAAAATACCCTGTTTGGTGAGACTTTTATCAAGTTTAAAATCTTCAATTAATTTTATTTATCACATGGTCAGAATTCTCTCCAGTTACACGTCACACTTTCTATACACCGGAAAACCTATATGATTAACTGTCACAAGAGGGAAATTTTCACTACATACCAAATGTAGCAATTTAAGTGATTACCAAAAATCAGCTAGAAGTTTTGATTTCGATAAATTCTCTATCTGTGCTATCATCACAGCCTAAACTTTGCAATTCAGCTTTCAATGCACTACAATTTGCTGATTCGTTGGAAAACCTCCAGGAGTTGTGATGAGCTTGTGATGGAATAAGGCTTTCCTTGCAGCCTACTGACACTGTGCACTAAATTGCATACTCTGTTATTCGCATTCAGATATCAGTATTCTCTAGGACAGGTAATATACATACAAGCATTGTAGAATTACAGAATCTCACTTTGTTACACCATTAAAATATATATATATATATATTTATTTTTTTTTATTATAAATTTTTAAAAAAGATGTATTTTATTGAAAGTTTTCTTTCAGCATACAACCGTGCAATAGTATGGTGAGTATAGTAGATACATGTGTAATAGGTCGTCGCTGACTTGTTGCTGCGAGCTCATAGCTCAGCATATAGTCTTGGTATATAAGACAGTTAATATAATGTAAAAGAAAGCAGATGAGTAAAAGGGAGGGAGAGAAGCATGGATTAAAGAACATAATCATAACAAGCATTATCATTTGGGAGACACAAGGGGTATGGCAACAGTTCGCCCCTCTGTCCGGTCTGTGGTTCTCCTTGTGGAACTAGGTTCCTCATCTGTGCAGGGAGTAGTCCCGGGTGAGCTGAGCTGCCCCCTTGCTCCGGCTTTGCTAGGTCTTGTGGAAACATTGGAGTTGGCACATGTTCATGCTCGTGGTTTCATTCGTGGAGCTAAACGGCTCTTCGTGCTGTTTGCATCCCCTCCTCCCATAGTGTTTTCTTCTTGTGGCGTGCGATCCTTGGCTAATTTTTCCCTTTTGGAGGAGGCTTGTATTTCTAGCATGTGGAACAGAGTCACTTGGTCATCTGTCGAGGAGAAGGTGAGTGTTGTGTCATTGTGAGAGATTTCAAGTGTTCCCCCTGGGGTCCATGTATACCTGATTGAGTGATCTCGTAGTTTCTTGGCTACTGGTGCCAGTTTTTTTCCCTTTCCACAGGACTGTAAATGGAAGGCCATTGTATATGGACACTATGCAATCCTCAAAGGTAACTTTACCCAATGATCTGGACTTGTTCATTATTGCTGTTTGCACTGTTATGTCCCTTGTAATGGCGATGGTGTCTCTAGGGACCTCTGCCAGTACCACCGCTGATTTTCGCACCCGGTAAGTCAGGACTATTGGGGGACCTGTGTTTCCATTAAAGTCCATATATGCCATCATTCGCTGGATAAATGGAAGCAGGTCTCCCCCTGCAATTCTTTCAGGAATGCCGCGTAGGCAAATGTTTCGGCGTCTATGGCGAGTCTCCAAAGAGACCACTTGTGACAAACTCCCCTGTCCTTGTGAGTTTGCCACGAGCTCCTGGAGGAGCCTGCTTGCCAGCCTCCTGCCCACCGACTATGGGCCAGGTCAGCGACTGTAAAGACTCATATTTTATTCCCCCTGGTTCAGCACTTTCCATTCGCACACATACAACCGAATGCCAGCTCCCTGGCGGCCGTTTGGTCCCTTGCATGGACCAAACCCACGAATAAACTTCAGGGGGACTTAGCTGCAAAAACCCTGGAACTATTTATGGCATGAAGATTTTGCGGTTCTCAGTCGCTCCCCAGCTGCACTTAGCCGCAATTCTATGGAACTATTTTTGGCTAGGGGAACATGCGTGCGGTCGGTCAAATTATGACTTCCAGGAAAGTCCTGAACTGATCTGGGTGATTTTTGCATATTGGTCGCCTAGATCAGGGCTATCAGGGGATGTAACTCGTGGGGTTTTATGTATTTTTAAGGTACTTTTGTGGTGTTTGGGAAATGTGTGTTTTTTTTGTGCTTGGAGATAATAGAGTTTAATACAGTGCATGACTTAATTATCTCCCAGGCACAGGGGAGGGATTATCTTGTTTTGTATGGGAGTGTCCTGGACCTGAGAGCCAATGTAATCGTGTGTATGTTTTTACTGTAGACTACTCTCAGGTCCAGGGGGGAGTGCCCCTTGCATGGGGACCTGCATATAAAGCCAGTTGTGGCTACCATTAAACGTATTCCAGCTTGTACTCCCAGAACTATGTGTTGTCTGGTTACTGGGAGGGGAAAGGGCTATACCTTAATCACTGTTCCAGTGTGGAGGATTCAACTGGGAAAGTTATTGTAAGGACAAGAGCTCCCAGTGTTGTCCAGTGCCTGGGGGGTCTAGAGCGAATTCCCCCTTTGGATCCAGTAGGGAGCAGTTCCAGGACTAGAATTCCTAGGACTGAGTAACGGGGGTTGCTACAGCGAGTTCCCCATTCGCTCCAGGAGAGAGCAGTTCCAGACCCCCAGTCAAGCCATGGCGACTGTGTGCAGAAGTGTTGCGGTTTGTCCCCTGGTCCTTGACACAGGTACCCAGCCAGGGCTACAGGGAGCTCCGTTACATTGGTTGGCAGTGATGGGATGGCGTCCTAGCCTTGGGAAAACCAGCACTACTGCAGTATGGAAGGCAAGTACTACAAGGCATTACCCGGCTTCGATGCCAGACTCCAGCAATGATTACAGGATGTGCTGCGCAGTATGGGGTACCCTATCCCAGAGGTTAGAGACACAGAGTGGAGGGTGGCGCTTTGAACCGATCTCTAGAAGGAGAACCTTGACGAAATTCGACCCTTCCGAAGTGAGGAAATCCTGACCACCAACCAGCGCCAAGCGGAACAGCTAGAGCTGCGGATGCCGTTCTTGGGAGACCAGCCCTCAGAGAAATGGGTAAGCGAACTGGAAACACTTGTTGCGACCAAGGTGTGGCTAGAGGATTCATACCTGGCCCTGCGGTGACATGCCTACCACTTCTACCTGTGGCTGGTCAAGAGTATTGAGGGGGGATACTATGATGGCTCTAGTTTGTTGTGGGAGTCTTTTGAAACTAGTCTGAGGTTCGGAGAATCCGACAGTGCCTGCTTCTGGTCCATCCAAGCTGAGCGGGCAGACAACTGGGACCTTACATGGTCTCTTTCCCCAGCAGCAGACAGAGTTACAGGAAGAGAAGTGTGTCGTCCTTCCTCCCCAGCCGCAGAATGTGTTATTGGGAGAAGAGACGTTCGGTCTCTCTCCCCAGCGGCAGTGTATTATGCAGTCTATCTCCCCAGTGGCAGCCAGAGACACCTTGAGAGGGGACAGTCGGTCCCCCTCCACAACCACGGGGAAAGATATAGGGAGTGGAGAGGGTCAGTCCCACTTCCCAGCAGCTGGGGCTGTTTTCCAGAGACAAGCCCCCTGTCGTGGATGGTGCAGATGGGACCCAGATCCCCAACCATGTTCCAGGTGCAGTGGAGGCCACCAGGCCACCTCAGCTGAAGCGCTGGCTACAGGGCAGAGCGCCGCTGACCTATGACCATCAAGCACGAATGACTTCATAGGTGAGATCCAAGGAGAGGAGAGTTTCTCTCCCGAGCGACAGTATGGGTTACAGGGAGAAGGGACAACCGGTCCCTCTCCCCAGTGGCAGGAATTACCCCCTTGAGTGGGGAATTGTACCCTCCATCCCCAGCGACAATTTGGTCCAACCGGGGAAAAGTGCAGCTGAGTTGTTTCCCCGCAGGACACTGGATGTACAAATGGGCACTTGTGGCAGGAGGCCTTCTGGACAACTACGCCTTTTGGGAAAAGCCACCAGACTATCACAGACCCCGATCAATTGGACGTCTAGGGTCTGGATAGTCTCCCCGGGAGGGGGAAGATATGTGACAAACTCCCCTGTCCTTGTGAGTTTGCCACAAGCTCCTGGAGGAGCCTCCTGCCCACCGACTATGGGCCAGGTCAGCAACTGTAAAGACCCATATTTTATTCCCCCTGGTTTGGCACTTTCCATTTGTACATATAGAACCGAACGCTAGCTCCCCAGCGGCCGTTCGAATGGACCAAAAAAACAAATAGACTTCAGAGGGATTTAGCCGCAAACTATTTTCAGCATGAAGACTGTTCCAGTGTGGAGGATTCAACAGGGAAAGTCCTAGTAAGGACTAGAGCTCCCAGGACTGAGTGTCGTCCAGTGCCTTGGGGTGTCTAGAGCGAATTCCCACTTCAGCTCCAAGAGGGCGCGGTTCCAGGACTAGAGCTACCAGGTTTGAGTTTCGTCCAGTGCCTGGGGGTTGCTAAAGCGAGTTCCCCATTCCAGGTTCCAGGAGAGAGCGGTTCCAGGGCCCCAGTCAAGCCACGGCGACTGTGGGCAGTAGTGCTGCGGTTTGTCCCCTGTTCCAGCTAGAAAGCGGTCCTTGGCGGAGGTACCCAGCCACGGGTACAGGGAGCTCCGTTACACCACTGTTTTCTGCAACTGTTGGCTTTGAGTAGTGATGTTTATTGTTTGTTTTGTGTTTGAGTGTTCCTGGCTTCTTCCCTCTCCTCTACAGCAGCCACTCTCTGTTGCAGTTTGCCTACTTCAGTCTGGGTCTATTTCAGGTCTGTCTTCCAGATTTGTCTCTGGTCTGCTAAGAGCCTCTTAATGTCCCCCTTTGTAGAAGGGGATGAGTCTTCGCCAGAATCAATACTGAAGTGCTCTCTACTAGAGCAAGGTAAGGTACAGGGTTCCTCTTCATCTCCCTGTGAGTCCTGAGGCCTTAGAGTCTTTTTGGGTGGTAGGCGCCATCTTGGCTGGTGTCGGCGGTGTAGGCCGTTCAAACGATAGCCTAATGTCGGGGAGTGCGGGTCTTTCTACTTGAAGTTGCCAACCTGTGCTTGCGCCCCATGTTGTCAGCTGTGGGGTGGCATACAGTTTGTACTTTTAACTTGCGGTATTCTGCAGTTTTGTCTCTGTAGGGTCCTGACGGAGCTCCACATTAACATGTCTGGCTTGGTGCCACACCCCCTCACACTTAATATTTTTATGGCTAATCAATAGAAAGCTGACCATTAAATACAGATTTAGGAAAATGGAATTAAAAGAAGACAGAAGACATGGATTGTTCTATATTAGACAGACTAGGATAAATTAAAGATCTGCCTGCGTCAGAATGACACCTAGGACCAGCAGTGTCCTAAGAATGTGAGACAGGGATGGGGCAATAGAGGATGTGAGCTAATAGCCAATTTCACACGTTTCGGAGCCATCTTCCAGTCTCCAATTTGGCCAGACTATGCTCAGTAATACAGGTGTAAGTGCCCATTTCAAACTCATCTTGTGTATGTTAACAGACTAATCATCCATTGAAATGTGTTAACTGTTGTCATGGAAACACAGTTTCATTGTGTATCTCCTAAAATGGATGGAATGTTCTTTGTACATTTTGTCTATTGGACTGCAATTGGATGTAAAGTGCTTTGTTTACTGTTGCGATGGAAAAAGTCATATAAACAATAGTTATCCATAAATATTAAATATACATAATGATATAGACACCTACATATAAATGCATAGAAGGTGCACTTTCCATCATATTGTATTTATAGGTGATAAAAATTAGAAATTGCAAGCATTGCAGCTATATACGCCCGACTTGTCTTATTGTATATTGAGATGTATTGAGATGTAGGTCTTATCCTATTACGTAACATTTGTTATGAGTCTGCCGTATAATTCATTCCCTCAGATATCTGTTCAGTTTTGGGAGGACATGCACATATAACTTATTTTACAGTTTTAGGATTTTTCTCCCTGTATCTGATGGGTTTACAATTTCATATAAAATAATTCCATAATTGTGTTTTTGAAGTACTTTTTGTTGCGTTAGAATGATCGGTTACCAGTTACTGTACATCGTTAGGAAAGTTCAAAAAAGTAATGGACACTACTCTAGACACCAGAACCCCTACGACAATGTAGTGATTATGGGACAAGTAGAGGCACTTCCTGGATGTGGTGCAGCAAAGATTTCAGGGTGGACTTTCAGCCTTCCCACGCTTTGCATGTTCACTCAATGTATCGCTATGAGGAGATGCCGATTGGAGCATTGCACTGATTTACGGTACATGTACTAGCTTTCACCATTGCTTCCCTATATGGAAGCATTGGATTAGCTGAGATCATTAGGGGTGAGAATCTCAGCCAGTGGAGGAAGTGAACCAGGGGATATATAAGGCAAGTAAAATGCTCTATTTAATGGATAAAAGAGGGTAGACAGGCAATAAGCCAAACAATTAGTATAACAAGCGTTAGTAACACATGTTTGTATTGATTTCTACAATCAGGGAAGAGATCTCTAACCTCTT